CGACCAAATTTTCTCGGCTTATGAGTTACCAAATTTATTGCGTGATGGGGCTATGCAGTGAGCGCGCGCTTCGAGCTCTGTTGTGGTAAGACGATAAAAGTCATTTCATGTAACAACATTATGAAGAACCTTTATTTTTTAATTAGAAATGGAAACAGTACATATCTGCTCTCTATCTCAGCAGTCACTAATGCCCAAAGGACCTGTAATTGTTTATCGCTCGTGGATCGGAGAATTTAGGGGGAAAGCGATAAATAACGACCACCCCCTAATAAACCAAGAAACTAAGGAAATTAAAACGAGTGTTTTTCTAATTCATAGAGTTGCTGTGACAATAACAACACGATCCTTTGCGAGCGGTAGAAGAAACATTTTTATGCATCTGCATGTACTGTCCAAACACTTCGATACTCACAAAATTACTGAGAAAAGGTGACAGGGAAAAAAGCGAATGTGTGTTACTTGGACTTGGAGTTATGACCTAGATACCCCCATGGGAATTAATGATTTATCAACTATATATGGCGAAGCTGAGTGAAAATGAAGTCTCGCTGAGCTGCTAAGATACATCTCCAAGTGGCGTGTAAATATCGTCCAAAACTCGCGATAATTGCCAGTATTGTTATTTTTCACAGTACGTAGCCTTGAGGTTTTGAGGCATCAAGCCATTTTGTGTTTGTTTAATTGTGTGAAATTTTTTTTCCATGCCGTATCAATAATTTTAAGAATTCTTTCTTACAGATTGGCGAATTTTTAAAATGAAAATTGTTCGAAGAGATTATTCTCCTCTGATCACGCTGTTATGAATAAGATTGCATGTGAAGTTTCAATATTTTATCTATACTATGACTGAATAAATCTTGTATATTGTAGTAAGAGAGTAATATTATTGCAGTCGCAGCGGTCTGGCCAAAAAAAATCGATTTTAGCTTATAACGACACACAAGAAAAGAGACAATTAGAGAACAACAAAACTATTTTTGAGACAGGTGTCTTAAAACCTTTTTTATGGGAAAAAAACAAAGGAAAGCTTTTTTGCGACGGGAAGTCGAGAGGACTGCTATGGTCGACAGCGGCACTGACGAACAGAATTTGCCCCAGTAAAGCCATGTTTTCTAAAAATGTGCTCTAAAATCTCCTAGAAAATTTGATAGGGATATCACAGAGTTGGCAATTTGAAATCTTTGAAAAAAGATTTGTGGGCTTTTTTTGTGCGCTCGCATTTTTACGGTTTAATATAATAATAATAATAATAATAATAATAATAATAATAATACTTCATTTTTATATCGCCATTTCCAGCGATGTCCAATAGCGCTTTACAAAAATGTTGAAATGTTACAGATATCACAAGTATTGTTCATAAGAATATTTAAAAATTACGTTCAACCTGAACGGCTAAAATATAAAGCAACTAATTCATAAAAACTTAAAATTTTGAAATATCAAAGGGCTAATAAAAAAACGACTAAAAAATATAAAGGACTAATTTAAAAACGCTTTCCTAAAAAGATAAGTCTTTAGTCTTTTCTTGAAATCGTTCAGACTGTCACAAGATCTTATCCCCAGAGGCATGTCATTCCACAACTGTAGTGTCGCTACTGAAAAAGAACGAAAGCCATATTTGCCCAGATTATATTCAACATCAAACAGGCGATGGCCATTAGCAGATCTTAAGTTGCGCCTAGGAATATGCCTTGTAACCAGGTCAGACAAATATGAAGGCGCTATGCCATTTAGACATTTAAAAGTCATCAAAAGAATTTTAAAAATTATGCGCTGTTCTACAGGAAGCCAATGCAGCTCCTGTAATACTGGTGATATATGTTCAAGCGCAACCATTCTGGCGGCTGCATTTTAAACATGCTGAAGCCGCTTGATAGTTTTTTTCGGCAGTCCATACAAAAGTGAATTACAGAAGTCCAGTCTGGAAGTAATGAAAGCGTGCAAAAGTATTTCTGCTGTATGGCGACTGATATATTTCCTTATACGGCTGATATTTTGAAGGTAGAAGAAGCCTGCCTTGCATACAGCTGTGACATGATGTTCCATTGACATGACTGTATCGTACAGAACACTAATATTTCTAGCTGTCGATGGCGGAGGTGGGCGATGGCTAGCATTTAAGACAACTGGTTCTGTATTGTCCCTGTTCATCTTAAGCATGTTTACTATCATCCAAGCATCGATATCTCGCACACAGTCTTCTATCGCTAATTTGGCCATCTCAGAAGTGGATGATATGAAGGTGAGGTATAATTGCGTATCATTGGCATAAAAATGGAAATTATATTTATGGTGTCTCATTACATCACTCAAGGGTCAGGTATAGAGCAAGAATAAGATAGGTCCAATGACACTACCCTGGGGAACACCGTGATGCAGCTCACGACTGGATGACACTCCACCATTAACCTTCCCAGTCTGGTAACGATCAGATAAATGCGATCTGAACCATTTCAAATCTTGCTTTAGTTGATAAGACAGTTTCATATTTCTCCAATCAAGGTCATCTAAAAAGATTTTTGCAAGAAAGATCTTGTAGTTAAGAGAAACCTTGCACTCAGAAACGATAAATTGATGTAATAATTATGATTGATTCTCTTATTTTTACATTCTCTTGTGGAATAATAGTCTTTATTTGGCTACATAATTATTCGCTGGCGTCATACTCAGTTGACATCATTTCTTTATTCAAGACAACTTTTGTAGAAAAAATTCCACCTTAAAGATATAATGCAGACAGGTGTTAAACATAGAACAAAACGTTTTTCTTCTAACTTTTGTAACTCGGAATTTGATACAAATTTTCCTCCCCATAGTACTCCTTGTGTTTTGTATTGCGCGGTATTTGAAGCCTGATGAGCAAGTTTCTCATAGCCAATAAAAACGGAAAGGAATTCTTGACCATTTAGTTATACAATCTAATTAAACTTATCGAACCTACTTCTAACTAGTTTTAAAAAAAAGGTCTTAGGTAACTTGTTGTTTAACTACATGCTTCACAAAACAGTTGACTGAAAATCTGGCTTTTGGAAGGCGAAGAATATTTCTTTCCGATCTCCCAAGGATCTTTTGGGGAAATGATTCAGCGCGATTAAATCAAATTTATTTTTCGTCATTTAGTTGAAAGTGTACGCATACACACGCAAACTCAATTGCTTTGCATTTTACGTCCAATCTATAGCTTATTTAACATAATATCATTTTACCTTCCATGTTGATGTTTTAAAGAAGAGGGTTACAGTCCTGAAAGTGTTGCATCGTACACATAAAAGCAAAATAACTTGGCAAGATAGTCAAAGCCTCCTGATCGTGCTCTCACAAATCATAAATCGGGATGGAACAGAAATAACAATCTTGAGAGTTTTAAACCACTCGGATAAGGTAGACGTATATGTATGTATGCTCGGCCACGCATGCGTCGAGATATATACCATAATGGTTCATTAGGAGCTAGACAGGACTTGCAAACGTGTGCTTTGTCATCATAAATTCTGAGATAGGTGAGGAGGATTGTGATTTGAATTGATGTAAAAAAAATTTGGAAGTTCATGATTGAAGCGTCTTACCTCTTATATCATTAAATACTAATTGTAGTTATTAGGTTTTCTGAGGACGAATTTTTCATCAGAGTTTGGGTTCATCAGTGTTACACTTCGCAACTTTTGGAAGTCAAACAATCCTTTACTAGTAATCTTCTCGGCACGAAAAGCCTTAATTATCGATATGTACGTCCCACACACACACACACACAGACAACAGCGAGCTTAACAACATCTGAGACCCTTAGAGCTGATGACCTATTTCGCTTTTTTATATTATTCAAACAACTTGAATTTTTGATGAATGCCGCATACTGGCATTCCACCCACTTTGTCCTTCGTGAGACAACGTCTTGTCAACCACACCATAGCAAACATCAGTGTGATTGACAGGGACACGTCCGAGTATTGTTGCAACCTGGACCACAACTGCGCAAGTGTTAACTTTTCGTTTGGAGAAAATGGAGCAGAAGCACACAACTGTGAACTAAACAACTCAACGGGTAAAGAATATGATAAGGATCTCGTAAAAGCAGCGAACTATCTATACCACGGAACTTAGGTACCAGTTGTTAAAAGGCAATTGCACTACTCTCTCTTTTAGCAATTTATGAAAACTAAAGGGGTACCCTTTATATTCATGTCTCGAAAACACCTTTTATCCATTATTTGTTATTTTTACATAATTTTAGATACGTTACGGATCTTTTGTAGATACGCACTTTCCAAAAACAAAAGTCCTTTGAGTACCTTGAGGACACCCAACTCTTTTAAGAAAAGAAAGTAATTTTTCTAAGTCAATTCAGAACGTTGTTCACCGGCCTTGAGTAAACAACTAATCGCTGTTTTTCATCTAATAAAGAAAGCACAACTACGAAACACTTAACTCATCTTAAATATTTCTCGTGGGCAAGGATAAATGAAATGGTCATTTGCAGGCATTTTTGCAGAAGGGTTGTTGAATTGAATTGGGTTTGAGGCTTGAATATAATATATTAGGTTAAATAATCGAAATAATTAGATATATCTCATGACTCAAGAGTACGTACGACTACGGATATAACGATACAGTTGAGCCATGACCGTGGTTACTGAGTACTGTTCCTGACAATTTACCCTATAATAGCTTATCTACAAACGCCCTCTCTCGATTTTCAGAGTGATAGGAGTAACTTTACACAGGCTACTTTTGAAATTGCTTTCTCCATCAAGTTGTGCTCAGGTTCCCGGCGAAATGTCGAGGAAAGTCGTTAAGATATTAAACAGTTAGCTGTGATATCCCATCCAGGGGAGTCACAGTTCTTGTTGTCGCCTCATGCTAAAATGCGGTATATTTAGCTCTCGATGTTATACAATGCGCCCTACACAGAATTTCTCTTTTGACAATAGTGACGAGCTTTTTTCTTTAATTTCTGTTTGTTTGCTTTTGTTAAAGAATTTTTGCGTTCAAGCTCCATGCAAGACTATAGCACCTGCCAGTCGGGATTTACAAGAAAACGATATCGATGTTTATGTGCGTCTGTATTCACTGGCCACGATTGTGAAAAAGGTATCACTTAAAAACATGATTATAGAAAAGAATTTTGTTCTTGATTTTAACACAGTAGACTATTTCCTCAGAGGGTTCAAGATTTAGAATCGGTTGTTCTTATGACAACAAATTAAATATGACCCATTGTTAGGGAAAACAAGGATGGGGGTGCAATTTCAATTTTCATGCTCTTTTTCTCAACCCGGGGTATTGTCTCTTGTTTAGGATAAACAGGAAGTAACTGAACCCACTTCCCTTAAGTGTTGCACCCATTTTCTATTTCAAAGACGCTCCTGCTTCTTTGAAGTTGCAGTCTCATCCCAACCAATCATAGGCATTTAGTGCCGCGGAAAATTGAGCGAAGAATTTTCCTCTCCGCAGCCCCTCACTCGACAATGCTGACAAATTGCATAACGCATCACATAATTTTAAACGTTGATGAGTGTGTGGCGAGAATGCTAGTTGTACAAATACCGAGGGATCTTGCAACTGCTCTTGTAATCCTGGGTTCAACGGGGATGGTGTTAGTCTTAGATAAATATCTAGGAATTTATAGAATACCTAGTCATGCTTATATGCGTGATGACATGGAAAGTTTTAGAACATTCTATTATGTCACGTAGTCATGATGTAATACTACCAAAATAGTTGTGTTGTAAGCTTCCGGAATATTCTAAAACACTTTTTAAATGCATATGTATATGAGGACTCATTCGTGTAGTAGTAGTAATAGTAGTTGCTGCTGCTGGGAGTTACCAAGCTACTAAGCTACTGTTGAAGCTTGTTCATTTCGAGAAACTTTGGAGACAACTTTGGTACAGACTACAGTGGCTTAAGTAAGGTGCCTTTAGGAACCGCTCCTCATTAAGAACATTACAAGTTGTTTAATGAAGTGGTTGAGTTTGTAGGATTGTAGTGTTCTTTCTTTCGGTTAGATTGTACAGTAACAATATACATTAATGCAAAGATATAATCCTGCAAAGCATGATCTTAAACAGAAAAATTACAAGTGCATTCTTTACTCACTAAAAGCGCCCCTGAGCCCCATGTGTAATTCTAGTCGGTAGAAAAAATATACGTATACTTTCGTTAAATAAACTCATCCTCTTCTCATTGTTATTCTTTATCGCCATACCTGAAAGAGAATCCTGATTTGATTTCAGACATTGACGAGTGTTCTAAAAACAGCCATAACTGCAGCTACACAACAGCCACCTGCACCAATACCAGGGGATCATTCAAGTGCATTTGTAAACCTGGATTCAGTGGTGACGGACACAACTGCACAGGTACTGAACATTATTTGGAGCATGATGTTTTGTTATATCACCGCAATAAACTTATGCAACTGGCCGAGATAGTGTCATTATACATGCGATGGTCATATACTGGAGCCCTTTCTCCCCTTTTCCCCTTCAGCTTAGGTGTTCGTAATCATGATCATGAGTACAGTGTGTTGATTCCAATTCAGACATCAATGAATGTGCCAATGATACCCACAACTGCAGCAGGGACAATGCCACTTGTTCAAACACCGCTCGCTCAACTGTTCTTGCAATCCTGGATTTACTGGTGATGGACACATCTGCCAAGGTAAAATCTTACACATCACATTTCACGCCACTTAGCCCCTATGACGTTTATATAAGCACAGGCGTTTCAACGTTGTGTTAACATCGTGCATCACGGATTTCTGTGCAGCTTATAGGGTTCATTTCAGACATCGGTGTTAAGAATACCTCTAACAGTAGCAACGAAAACGCTACTTGTAAAACTTCCGAGGGATCTTCGAAGAGTACATGTAAACTTGTATTCAGTGGGGATGGATACTACTGTACAAATAACGAGTTCTCTCGTTAAAAGAACCCTTAATATCTTGCTCTCTGTGGTAGAAGTCCGTTTGATGATCAGATAATACTTTACTCTTTTTTTCTCTATTAGTTAAAGAATTATTGTTTGTTAAATTTGATCAGTGGGCGTCGTCGTCGTATAGAGCGGTTTTTTAAAAATTTAAATATTCTATATATATATATATATATATTTCTTTTTTTTTTTTTAATTATTCTCTCCCTAAAATCATGGTGGCATATATCATTGTGTTGATTTGATCTCAGACATAGATGAGTTTGCTCAGGATACCCACAACTGCAGCAGGGACAGTGCCACTTGTGCAAATACAGAGGGATTGTTCAGCTGCTTTTAAAATTCTGGATTCAGCGGAGATGGACACAACTGTGCAGGTGTAAGAATTTTTCAAAGTATGATTGCTCTCCCGTTTCAGGAAGTACAACATACACGACCTGACCTTCTTGTCCACAAAAATTTTGAGAGTCCTTTTTTTGTTTTTTTTTTTCTTCCAAGAGTATTACTTGATAACCCTAATTATGACTTACACTTTTTATTTATTTATTTATTTATTTATTTTTTGGACTGATTAAGTTGTCTTTACTGCAATTGTTGCACTGTATGTTGAAGCCTCTTTTTTACGAGCATTGGGTACGATCAGTTGATTTCATTGCAGGCATCGATGAATGCGGTACAAGTACCCACAACTGCAGTATGAACAACTGCGACTTCTACAAATACTAAGGGATCGTTCAATTGCACTTGTAGTCCTAGAAATTCAGATCTGCTGGCATATAATACGATATACATCAGGATTACCTGAAATTCTAGACACTGGATTAACAGGCGCGACTGCGTCATTTGCACATCTACCCCAACCTCTATTCCCCTTTAGCCCGGTTACTCATTATCATGATCATGGTACGTTCTGTCGACTCCATTTTAGACATCGATGAATTTACTGGAGATACCCACAACTATAGCAGAAACAATTCTACATCCACAAATACCGAGGGGATCGTTCAACTGCTCCTGTAAGCAGGGATTCACTGGAAATGGACACAAATGCGAAGGTAAAATTCTCGAAAAATTGTATTATCTAACAATCTATTCTAAGTGGGAAACTTCTAAAAGTTGTGTCAACTTTCATCGGCTTGCTTCTTCGCTTGTTTCCACCGGCAGATAACCCGGCGTAAGCTTCATATACACTTATATTTTCGTCATAAGACCAGGTCAAATTTTAAGGTTTCTTACGGGAAGCCTTGTTTTGTATACCCAAGCTACGGGTAAACAAAAACCGTCTTTCAGAGAATGCATTCACAATGGTTTTCAAAAATGAACATTGTATGGAATCTAACAATATGTGTTGTACAGTACGTGGGCTGCGATTAAAAAAAATTACCAGGCCTTCAATCACAGTACACACCTCTAAATTAAACGACTTTGTTCGAATTAAATCCTCAGTAACCCTATATTTGAGCCCAAAGTTTTAGTAAATAACTTACTAATCTCGTTGTCTCATGGTAAATATCTCATTAATCTCGTTTTCTTTCTGACTCTCTTCGTGGTTGGGTCATAAATTCGAGCGGAAAAAACGAGCTCCGTAGCTTATTGTGCGGACCTCGGATTCGACGTTAGAGTTATCTACATTTGTATGAAACAAAGGATGTTACACTTAAAGTAGAAATTACAAGGAAACCGCAAAAGAAAATACTGTATCTACGGTGTGCGTAGATTCCGTTAAAGATCTGATTACCATTGCATTTACTACGAGAATTTTCTTTGACTAAATTTGTCAAACTTCAGACAGTCTAATACTTGAACAGGCGAACCTTAAAGACTTGATCTTCAAAACAACATATTTTAACTGTTTTCTTTTGTTGTTGTTGTTGTTATTTGCTTCAAAGTAATATCTCATGTAACACCCAAACTTCGCCCCCCGGTGAAAACCGAAAGCACGTACTAGTCTTTGAATGCATTTGAGCAAGCGTTCATTGGAAAAAAGGGATAGAAATAGTGAATGACGAGGTTCCCGCTTTTCATTGTAACATGACCTCAGACGGCTTTAACCCTTCGGTACAATTGGTTTCACCTCGGCTAGACAATAAAAGCAACTAAGTGGGGAAAGATTTTGGTTCAAATGCCTTTTAAATTAGCAATCTTTATTGTGGAATACGGCCCACTTCTTTGACTGATCATAGCGCACGTACCAACTGAAATATATAATACTGAGTATTACTGACATGAAATGACTGCTACGTGTTTCGTCCAAAACCGTAGGATATTTAGTATTTTATGTTTATCTTCATTAATATTTATGAGTATCTTTTTTGGAGCAGTTTACAAGCCAACAAATGGCATCTGACTGTAACAGGATGTTACACTTATTTTCCCTTAGGTAAATTTGGTTTTATCTTAGCCATACAATTAAAAGAAACTAGGAGCGAAACGATATGCGGGTATAACATGGTTGAAGTACAGGTACAAAAACAATATCTATTTTAGTTATTTTCCACGTTTTTAAAAAACAATTCACCTCTTTCTAGACGTTAATGAGTGTGAGAACGACTTGTACTATTGTGAGGCTAATAGCTGCTGCACCAATACAGTGGGTTCATATGTTTGCACGAGTGACCGTAAGTACCGTCTAGAACAGCAGTGAATTCAAGTGAACATGAATAACTGATTTGCCAGCTGCTCTGGTAAAAAATGATAAATTAAGCAGCAAAAAAAATAGACATGAACCCTCGATCTTCTCACCTTTTTTTGTTAAGGCTTTTTTTCGTACAGAATGTTCGATATTTCATATTCTTCTTTTTTAAGATCAGAATACGACTGTGGGAGCCTGTTATTTAAACAAAATCGTTGTTTAACAGAACTGCATCCTAATCAATCCTAAACTTAGCTGAACCATTTATCGGAACGTTTATATTTGTGAACAGTGTAGAAGGGCAGAAAGCTAGGAGTGGAAGGACATTCATTTAATCAAATCAACCTTCTTATAAAGAAAGCCTTACCCCCACTGATTGCGTAAAACCGCAGTTTGGGTTAGATCTCGTGTAAAAGACCGGCCTTATAAGTCTTTGCTACTCAAATATGTACAGCTTACTTGGATGTTTAGGCGTGAAAAATGCGGAAAAAGAGTTTTGTCCACCCCTATAACTGCATCGTAGGGAGGATAATTACCTCATAGATTTAGTGCCGTTAGATTTTAAAGTGGTTTTTCACCAACGGGTGGCCTCGCATCATCAAGCATTCTGAACAACTCACCAAAATACTACATTGGCACTCTTTCGTCTTACTTCGACCCAGTCCTGACCAACCTTTCCTCGAGCCAATTCATGAAATGTTATCACGCTGAGACAGATGGCTGGGATTCAACAACATTCCATTCGAAATGTGATGGAAAGGGACCCACTGTTTCCATTATTCAAGTCAGTAACTACACATTTGGTGGACACACCGACGTGTCCTGGCAAAGTATGCATTTCTTGTCAGTTACTTATTATTCCCCGGGGAGGGGGTGGCTAGATAAATAATATCCTCTATTTGGCACGGAAGTATGCACGGATATTTTCCGCCGGCATTGTGTGTTCCAAGATTCTCAAAATTTCTCTAGAGCGAATCTCCAGGAAAACTGTGAGCGAGGAACAGTCGTGCCAAATAGAAGCTCTTGTGTTTATCATCCTTCAAGTATTTTACAACGCGCGTGAAAAGATGTTCACGAATGGCTTGTTATTTGCTGCCTGATTTCTTAGAAAACTTTATGAATAAAATAATATTTACCTTTTTCTTTAACAACCCTAAAGCGCTCTCTCATCTTGAATTAATTTTTTAATAAAGACATAATAATGGTAAAAATTGGTGAATATCACGTGGGTGATATCCTCGGATATTCCCCAGGTTTATCTGAGAAATATTTGGTCATGTGATAGTTTTAGACCAATCGCGCGCGAACAAAAATATTTCATTGATCATAATGGTGGATATTAACCGAGCTGTAAAGCGGCGAGGTAATATCCACTGCCAGCCACCGACACTGCAGTGAATAGTTGTTCTAGTATACACTGAAACAGCGAGACGATGCAGCACAAAATATGATTTTAATTTATGTATTCCTGCAACAAGTACAACATTTTCGCACGCAAATCCCGCACAAATTGCTTGGAGGTGAATAGCATAGGCTACTCGGAGTTTGAGTAGCCAAGCAGAGCGCATTTTCAACGCTATCCACTGCTTTAGTAGATACTTATGGGTGTTGTGAGAGGTATGTAGTTTCCTCTGTTATATAGCGCTAGTGGGACGGCGGGCATAGTCAAGTAGTGTCAAATATTGATGGAATCAGAAATGTTTCGTGAAAAGCATAATTATTCAATCAGCCTTAATCCTTTTAAATAGCTAAAAACAAAATGGTGGATGACATGGGATGGAGTCCGAAAACTAAAGGCCAAGAAGAGGCCCGGCAAGGAAAGGTAGAGTTTAGCAAAATCTAAATTTGAAGAATTCGGCAGCTTTGGTGGAAGCTAGAGTGATTGTGTCTCTGTTATAAAATCTTATGGCGAGGAGATTTCCAAAATGCGATTGACGCAACTACAAGAACTAAGATTAAAAGTCTTTTAAGACCTGAAGCACTCTTTAATGGCCGATGCAAACAGAGGAAAATTATGCACAGCTTAAAATAAAAGAGTTGCACAACAAACAATCTTTAACAAATTACTATCGAAGCAATTACGAAGAAGACAAAGGAAGTGAATTCCGATCAATTTCAAGATAAAAAAAAAACCTAAGTTGTTATTTATTTACAGTTCAGAAAGACGCAATGACCAAAGTTAATGCTCCTGGAAAAGATGGAGGAGGTTGGGGAGGAGCATTATCGCTCCATGAGTAAACTGCAATGACCCTCAAGACACATTGTCAACCTTCTCATATAATTGGGCTTTCCTCTAACAAATTTCTCTGGCTGCAGGTTCTTGTGGGTACACAGCGGCTGCCAAAGCCTTCATTTTCTCGCTGTACAAGGTGCATGGTTACAAACCTGTTAAACTAGCTCAGTACTGGTATCAGGGATGTGCAATCTACAGCTGCAGTAGTTATGGAAGAACGTTTGGGAGTTATCTAGGGCAACATGACATCTACCTGCAAAATAACGCTAGAAACATCCAAAAGTCCCTCACCATATGCGGGTCAACTTACGCCGTCCCTACTGGTTTCACTGCGTTCGTCAAGTGCGTATTCTTGCTAGAGGAGATTAAAGTAGAATTATTTCAAACCTTGTCAATGTTTTGTTCCTGATATACGATCCAACTGCTTTCATCGGTGGAGAAAGAAAGCTTGTAGCTTTTGACGAATGACCCATATTTCTTCCCTCGCGTTGCAATTACACAGACAGTGTGTAGCGCTCCCATATCGACTTTCAGCTGTACAGATTTACAACTATTTTGTGATGCATCCCTTTCAGCAATTAAGGCATAACTATTGTGTGACGTTACCTGAAGATATAAAGGACCTATAGCTATTGCACATCAAGCACCCTCACCTGTTAGAACCTTGAGCTATTCTGTGATGTATTACCTCAAACATATGGCATAACACGTTCATAGCTATTTGCATGGTCTTAGGTATTTAAAATAATTGCGTGAGGTGAATTGGTTCAAGTACTGATATGTGCCTACCTCTGTTTTCCACTTTCCCAAGTAAAACGTAGTTTCATCTTGGACAAAATCGTCAGGTTACTTTTCGTTAGTTCCGTCATTCAGCTCACATATTTTACCAGTTGTGACGTAATTGTAGCTCTCACATGCGACTTCGTTGTTGCAAAACACCAGACATTCATACGTGTCTTGAACCCTTTTTGTTTTACAGGTGTGACCCTTGAGAACCTTTCCACCCACAGATTGCTCAGCTAGGCTACGCTGGGGCCAGCCGCCATTAGCAGAGGGATAAGTGATGAAAAGTAAAAGAAATACAGAGCTGGAAACATTTGCCTTGAATTGAGCAATACCGCAATAGTCAAGAAAATCAGTTTCAGGAATTGAGGAGGACTCTAGACAATTCTTTGAAAGGAACGATTTTGTTTCATAGAGCTGGAGAAAGAGATCTATTGCTGCACTGTAGCTATATATTGCGTAGCTAAGGAACAAATCTCCCTGAGCTGCTGTGGAATTTTTCCCAATTGAGATAACATGCAAGTATTGCTGAAAACTCGCAATCCTTGCAACAACCGTCAATTATCTCAACTGCCTGATAGTGCACAATACCCCAGCTACCGACATTCTGATGACTCAGATGATTCAGTGATTTTTGATTACAAGTCTGTACTATGAGTAAATTTTTCCGTTCGGATTAATAAATGCGTTTACGAAATTCTCAGTAAATCGTCATGTGTCGGCATTTTAAATTATCGCCAGCCATTTTCGGCTTAAAACTTCTAAGTGGGAGACACTGAATGTTTGTGAGTTTTTTCTAAGACGAAAGATCACTCTCTGATCGTTAAATGCCTCTCATAAACGCAAGAACAAATGCACGTCTCTATTTTTCTGCAATGCACTGTTTAATTTCATCCCATTTCAAAACATTTACGGCTATCTATGAAATTTCTATTTTTATTATAATGCGTAAACTACTTCGAATGCCTCTGCATTACAAGTTAAATAAGAGCGCTATCAATGAATTTCTTTTCACTTTCAATGAGGTTATTTGCGCCATAAACAGGTTTTAATTGTTTGAAATTAACCGGTGTTAAAATAGTTTCTTTCCTGTTTGTCCTGAAAGCTAAAATAACCCATTTCGATTACCCCACAATCTAAATTAAGCCCAAATATTACTACATTTAACATGCACCTAGAAATTTCAGTGCAAAAAGGGACATCCAACTAACCTTTAATTACTTCAGCTGTCTGCCCTTTTTATTTTGTAACTAAGTCTGATACGTTTTCCTTCTCTCTGACGATATCTTAACAGCTTTTCAACGGAATATTGTTTTCACACTCAAGGATGTCTACATTATTAATAAAAAGAATCTTGAGCGATTGGTTTCTATACCCCAACGTGAAGATACAGCCAAAATAAATTTCGTTGCTGAGGAAATATGAAAAATTCAATAAAAGGCGATTTTTTTGTCGCACCAAAAGCTCAAAAACTCAAAATATGCCTCTAATTTCCGTCAAGTATGAATGAATACCCTTCTGTTTTAGCCTATTAAGCAGTATCGAAAAAATCGTGGGCTGAACCTAAGCATTTAAATATACATAACAAAACACAATACATGAACTGTTATGAATCATTGCCCAAATTAAAAAAGCGTATCGATTCTCGCGAATAGTGACGAATTTAGCAGACAACTTTGACATGTAAATACATTGCTAGATCGAAAACCCTTGGTCTTTTTCACGGTGCCAGTAGCTTTTGGAAAAACTAAGCCTGCTTTAGAATTTAAACTGAAATAAGAGTATCTAATTAAAGCTTCGTTATTTATTCATTTATGCCTCCAAAGAGTCTCTCAAGAGGGACTCCCCACATTGACAATTAGCATCAAATATTTATGAAGCTGCAACTACTTGAAACTTAAACTTAAAACTTAAACAACACATGAAAAGTGACCGGTAAGGTAAGTTAGTCTTGTAGCCAGATTTAAATTTGAAGCACTCAAGAGGTATTTGAGTTACGTTTTTATGTGAGAAAATTGAAAACCTTTGAATTATCATCTCCATCAAAATGGGACCTTAAAGAAGTACAAACCCACCATTCTAAAATTTTCTTGAGTTGAGTGTAGATTTCTCCTTTTTCTCTCCCCTTGCTATCTTAAGAATTCACGCGCGCTCAAAGCAGCTCGTTGCACATGTTAAAAATGGTTCTTGTACTCACCAACGTGCGTTGAAATCACGACCAAATTTTCTCAGCTTAAGAATTTACCAAATTTATCGCATTATGGGGCTGTGCAGTGAAAGTGTAAGTGGTTATATAAAGGGCCTTGTTGATTGCTGCGCATGTAGTTTTAAATAAGTGCGAAAGAAATCATTGTTAAAATAGGGTCTGCTTTGAGTTTGACTGATCAATGAGCCACGACTGCTATATTTCAAGTATGTGCCGATTGTCTAAGTTGTTTTCATACCTTCAGTCAAACCAAAACTATTTTCATTAAGAACCAGACGCGTGATATTCTGTCACCGAAAGCTTTCTATACATTTATGACAAATTGTAATGAAGCTAGGAATGCAATAGGCGACTCGCTCTCGGAACCAATGAGATGACAGGATATGCAGAATATCACCCGCTCAGGCACTGAGAAGAAAATAAAACCAAGCTATCTTGCGTTTAACTTAGTTTCTAGTTGAGATCGCTGCATGACTTCACTTCATTTTAACACTCTCAGAGAGAAAGGAGAGATTTCTTGAAAACTACTTATATAATGGTTACAAGCTTTCATGAAAACGTAGTGACGAGATTCTCCAGGGAACTACGTGCCATTAGTTCTTTTCAACAGAAAATATTTTAACATTATTGAGATGTTTTAAACATTTGTAAATCAGTTACTAAACGTTCGACTGAGTTAAGAAATTGTAGCTTACTGTCAACAACTACATCAATGCTAAGAACGAGCAGTGAAACTGATTCAGTGAAGAATTTACTGACCAATATTAAGCGTTCAGCTCTACTTAAACTTCGAAATTGTCTCTGGCTGGATAGAATTCAGGGATAGTGGTCAAGTTTCATTCCTTAAACTTTGTGATGTCTTCAATGGCTAGCTTATCCAAAAACACGACTTTTAACTATTAAATCTGTCTTTTGATACGTTTTTCAACCATGAAAAAATTTTCAATCAATTGTCGTTTTATCCTCGCCAGTATTATGATTTTTTACATGGTGAGGTGAAATAATGAGCATCTATTTATTGAAAGATCATTTGGTTTTATCAACTGAGTTGATGAAACATAATTATCCTTTATCAGCGCCAAAAGCCCATGTTCGAAACGTTAGCTTTGGAAACTCTTTACTAAAGCCAATTTCCATTATCATCTCAGTTGATAAAATCAAATTATCGTGTGATGCATTCCTTTGTTAAATGTAAATACGGTGGTGTGACGAAGAAAGCAGGTGTTTCAAAGATTTATGAAGAGAATGTTTGAAAAAAGGGAGGTGTAAGAACTAATTTTTCTTGAAACAATGTCAAAATAAAATTGACTTCTGTCTCGTTATTTACGGCCTTTTCTTTCGATTTGATGTTTTATCTTTTAATTTCACCGGCAAAGTGTACTTTAATGGTAATTTTCTTTTTTGAAGAACATGAAAATATAAATGCCAACCGTTTCTGCCAAAAGCAATGAATCAATGAACAAAGGGGGTAAATATTACACATTAAGAAGAACACATTCCACAAGGTCTTAATTTTCAAATGGCGAGGTGGTTGTGAGGTAAATCTGTGTTCACTGGGATTTCGCCACGCAGATCGTTTCCATGGAAACTACAATAGGGGGTATATTTTCATTGATGAATGCCAGCTTCTTCACATTTTGGGAAAGAATTTGCATGAGAAACTTTTTAAGTCTTCCATTCTTTTCGAAGGAATTTTCCTAAAGCATCGACATTTTAAAGTGGGTACAACGAGGATAACAAATATTATCCACTTGTCGTGATTGAGTGGATTCATAACTTTATACAATTAAAAATTACCTGAAAATGGCTTGAACTAGTATTCATTTCAAACGTTAGTGTTTTTACTTTTGTGTTTTATCTTTTATTCAAGGGAAAACAATAAAAAATTAAAATATTACTACTTGGTGGACAGCTGTTAGTTTTGTATGAGGTACTATGCTGGTTAACGCCATAACTAAATTTCATTATGTAAATTTAAAAAACAGAAAAAAAAAATGTTGTCAGTCTATTTCTATTGAGGTCTTCATAGTGACACTTCAAAACCTGTTTTAGTGCGTTATTTCTGAATATCTTATTTTAAAAAGTATACAAAATTTTAGAGCTCAAGAAAAAAAACTGTGCAATTACGGTGAGTTTAGCAAGCTCTTCGCTCCACTTTAGTCAAGCACAGAACTTTTCAAAACGAGTTCAAGTCCTTTTATAAACTCTTTATTGGCTATTTCTATATTTTTGTGTAATTGCTCAACTGCCATAAAGGGAGGACAGCATAAATAGGGAAGAAAATTTTGTTGTTTCTTACTGTTTGATTTTCAATTGTAGCATAGGCATAACTCATCGGGAAGTTTCTAGCAATTTGATAAAGAAGTTTTTCGATTTGCCACAATGAATGTTGATCAACATATCATATTTGCTTACTGACACTCTTTCATTAGCAATGAACTTGGATGGTGAGAATTGCATACGCTTTTAATAAAATCATCAATGATTCATGACGGGAAGGGAATTGAGGTTAAGTCACGATTCTTTCAGCTTCTATTTCTCGTCAATATTGCCTAAATTTTTACATAAATAAATGGTCATTCAATTACATTTCACGCAAACTGTGGTCATTTTCGTTTTATATCCTGCCCTAAGACCTATCCTACTGCTTCATGAAGTTTAGTTAAAAGGGGACGTCTGTTTTTACTTGGGTTTCCTCACCCGCCTTGAAACGAAATTAATTTTAGCTTAATTTACAAAGCGGAGTCTAGAGGCCAATCGAAGGAGATTTGTTCAGTTAAGAAAGTAAACATCGTAAAAATTGGAGGTTGTGAGAAAAAATCAAACACGGATACAACAAGCTCATACGGTAAGCAACCATATCAGAGGTAGCGAAAACTCTGAAGAGATGATGTCTAAAGAAATATGAGGTTGGTTGAAACTAAGCGGAACATGGCTGAGTCAAAATTACCAGTTATACGATATTTGATATTATCAAAAACATTTTGAGATAACCGGCGAAACCAAGTTGGGTCATTTCTTGGTTTATCCAGAGAGAAAAAACCTCGACACTCTGAACACTACGTACTCTCGAAGGGCAAGTAACCTCGTTGCTTTGAAACGAGAATCCTTTGTGTTTTTGGGTCACAATTTTCTTTTAGTGGTATTTGAAGTTGATCATATATATTTGCATGATTTCATTAAAAATGCTTCAAAATAAAACAGAATTGTGCATTGTGGAATACTTTGGGAGTTTCGGATATCGGGCGATCACAGCAAGGACATTTCCTCAGACAGAAAGTTTCTAATTCGGAAAAACAAAGAACTTGTTATTGTTCCATGGTATTCCAAGAAGGAAAAAAGCAAAAGAACCTTGAAAATTTTTTTGTAAATAAAAAAAAAACCGATTTTTAATGGCATACAGAATTCACTTTTTGTTTACATACTCAAGTTTTCTCATAAATATTCATTCAACGTAACGTTCGATTTGTCATGGAGACTCAAAATGTTTTCATCTTCATCCAACGTTTGTGACAAAAAAAAGATCGTCTTTCTTAATATTATTGCTGAGCCTAAATTTTCCCGTCTCTTACATTCATTTTAAATGATCTATTTATTGCTTGCGAGCATTTTAACTGATCCATTTATCTTTACAGTACAACTCGATCCAGGCCAGATGTTTCCGATACTGTATATTTTGTACTTTCCATCTTTGATTCCTCTGCGCATGGCCACAAGTCAGCAGTGTGAACCCTCTCAACAGTCAGAGAGTGGAAAAGCTCTCAAAGGTCACATCTTTAAATCGAAAAAGGTACAAGATCCGTACCAGTGTCTGATATTCTGCTACAGCGAATTCACATGTCAGAGCTACAATTACGTCATAACTGGTAAACTTTGCGAGCTGAATAACAGAACCAAAGAAGCAAGACCTGGAGATTTTGTCCGAGATGAAACTAGATTCTACATGCGGCGATGGAAGAACAGAGGTTCGGAAGCAAAAAATTAAAATAGTCTTTAACTTTTCATTGTATAAAAGATAAGTAAAAATGAATACTTGTCACTGCTATAAACATCAAGTTTGTTTCAGTTCCTGGACAATCACAACTAATAGGTATCGTTAAGTCAAAATTTTCATCAATTTAAGAAATTTTTAAACCTTCCATATGACGGCAACACAGCTACTTTTGAGGAGGAGAGATTGTGTTAGAGAGGTGCGAGATACACAGACAGACAGACAAAGAGAAAAAAAGTGCTTGTTTGAAAGCTCGTTCAAAGATGCCAAGGGTTTAGTATACTATTAAAATTTCACTATATTGAAATGTGACTGATTCCATTAGCGTTCTCCTGGGATCGGGTTGAAACCCCCATACAATCCACACATCGCATATGTAGTTCATCAAATTAAATCAGAACCTCGCATAAATTGATGTGGGAAGAGGGTGGGGGCTTGGGGAGAAAGAGTCTCCTCTGTTCAACAGGGGAGTCGAAGCCTAATAGGGATAAGAAATTAATGCGGTTGGCTCACGGCATTTCCCAGGATGTTCCCTTCAAAGCATGCGTGTCTTAAACACCCAATGAATCAATGAAACTTAGCATATAAGACGTAACCTCTTAGCCTTCGAGGAATTGTTTAATATGGCCACATTGAAGTATTCCTCGTTGAAATTATGCTCGGTTGGTTCATTGAACAGTACAATACGATCAAGAAAGTAATTGTCGTCGAACGAGAAGCATTTTACTGTTTCTTTGCCAAAGTCTCATTAGGCTCCGTTCCCGAGATGCCTGCCGAGTCTTGTAGAGAGATCAAAGCCAGCGAACAAGGGATGGCGGTTAGCGGTAGATATTGGCTGGAGCCCCGGGAGACAAAAATGAAATCTAAGAACTTTCTGGTAATTAACTAAATTATTATTCTTCACTTTGGACAATTCAAGAAAAAATAGATTTGTATCGTAATAGTAAGAATTTCTTTCTTGCAGACAATTCACAAAAAAATAAATTAGCTCTATAAATGAAAGTTTGCATGGAATTCTTTATTTCTTTGCAGGTTTATTGTGACATGGTATCAGTGGATCAGGTCTGGACTCTCCTCGCTCGGTTTTCAAACAGTGACACTAAAAACTGGATGGATGACTCAGGAGACTGGTGGTATGACAGTACTCAAGCTGCAGGGGAAACCGCTGACCCGTCGTATAACGCAGACATGATCTCGCCGGCGTTCTGGCTGATCGGTGGCAGTGAGCTTAAGATTACGCGCAATGATGACTCTGGACACACTCCTCTATTGCAAACAATAGGGAACTGTCTGAGTGGGAAGACATTCCGCTCCAAAATTACCAGCTATGGTAACTTCAGAAACGGTTCAGTTTGGTCCAATGGTAAGTGCCTGGGAAAATGCAAAGTTCAATATGGCGGACAATACCAAACCACTGAGGGCTTCGGACAGGCTTCATGCAGTAGTGACCTGCAAGGTGCTGATGAGGTCGGATTCTGGTGTGTCAAGGGCTGGAGTGGTTCTGTGATCATGATCGGAGGAGGCGGAGCTGATTGTTCAGACGCCGATCACGGAATTGGGACAACGGTGGCGAAACTTACCTCTTTTAAAATCAAGGAAAATAACAGAAGAGAATCTGACTTTAGTAACGACGCATGGGGTTCGATAACTAAAAGTTACTCATTGAATTTTTGGATTCGTTGATGCACGCATCCCTTTTAAACTCGTGTGTGAAATGCCGTTTAAGATATACGCGAAGAGTGAATTTTTCCAAAATTCATGCATGAAACGTGATCAGAACTACCTTCTGACACAGACTGCATAGTGAAAGTGTAAGTAGTTATATAAAGGGCCTCATTGATTGTTATGCATCTAGTTTTAAAGAGATGCGAAAGTCTGCATAGTTAATCAGGGCGTGCTTTGACTTTCATCGTTAATTTTTTTCAGTTTTAGATATCTAGGTCTTTGGGATCATTTTTTAGACGTTAACCTTGCGTACTTGTTAGCTTGATGGCCGCAAGTTTTTCAGTTTTTAACTGACTGTCGTCACCCTCTATAAATAAAGTTAACACATACATACATCGACAAGAATTGAAGCTGCTCAAGCAGGGCGACAAATTCTTTCCATATCTATTGTTGGGACTGTTGTCATCGTCGATCTCAAGACTTTGAAGCCCTTTTCCTTTTATTCGAGTATTCTTCTGCAAGTTTGCACTTCGGGTGGAGAGGAAAAAACGAAAAGAAAGGAAAACCAGCTACAATGCTGTAGATCATTGTATATCAAGGCATGACGATAGACACCATTTTGAATTATCTTCATTACTCCATTTACTTGGGAAAAAAATATTGACCTATGTACTCATCCTCAGATATTCGATCAGCAAAAAATAGCACGACTTTGGGGACAGAAGCAAACCTAATTGTCGTTAAACTTCAATGTTTTGACAAAAAACTTCAAAGCTGTTACCAGCAAGTCTTTAACCAACTGGCAGAATATTCACAAACATATTTCCACGGAAACTGTGATTTAAGTGTTTGGTAATGTTGTGTTCCTTGTCGTTACTGGTATCAATTGACCTCTGCGAGATCTAACTCAAGAAAGCCACCCTTGAAATATCTGCCTTCGTTTGTTGGCTGCAAACACCATTCCCACCACCATCAACATGCGCGAGGACTTCTCAAATAGTAGAGATGCAATCGACGGCAACTTGAACCAGTCTCCCGCTGATCTTGCAAATATGAGCCAATTCCCATTTTCCCATAATCCCACCATTTTAAATGGCTAATTAGCTATATCGCGAAGCCTACTCTTGTGCAATAAAAACTCGACGTCCAACAAGCCGACGACTTTAAAAATCACAAGACTGCGCCTCTTTCTAAAGCTCCTAAGAACAAAAACTTAATTGCGTGAGATGAAAGCTATGTGCCAAATATAAAGGCATGAAAAATTTAGAGAAACAAGAGACAATTAATGTATTATTTTTATTGGGAAAGTCTTATCTGGATTGTTTACTTTAACACTGTACCACGCTCTCATAAGTATACCACATTTCACAAGATACATCTTGAGTGGATATAAAAATCTGGGTAAATGTATTTCCCTTCTTCTTCTTCTTTTTTTTTTAACGAGTGTTAATAAACGAGGAAGATGAATGCCACTGAAGATGATACGAATTAAAGGCAACGTGTAATGTCTCCAATCCAAAATAGACAACGGATGATATTTGAAAAGTTTAAACGCACTTAAAAGTTGAAGAGAACGCTCTAACAAAATACCCCAGGTGGTGTACCTACCTAATTAAATATAAAAATTGAATACAGAAGGAAAAAAAAATGAATGCGCTGAGGAATGTCCAAAGCCTTTGGTTTGTTCTACGAGACTTGAGTCGGAAAAATACAACAAAGAGAACAAAAACTTATGAATAAACTAAAAATAATTAAATTTTTTCTAGAAGGATTTAAAAACGACGAGGCTGGTTCTAAAGAGGGGACACAAATATTGATCCACAGGACTAAATTTATACAAATAAATACGTATTACTGGACATAAATTAAGTAACAATACAAAATGATGTAAAAATCAACTTCAAGTACACAACGCAGCTAATGAAACATACAAACACTCACAGGTAATTAAAACCCAAATACGATACACACAGAAAACGGCAATCTGCAAAAAAATAAATTCTTTAATCAGTGTAAATCACGGTAAAAAAATAAAAAAGAGACCATAGAAGATTGAGTAAGAAGCGTAACGAACGTGTTGAGAGGAGATGATATATTCTGCACTGCCCTTTCGTAGGTGCTGGGGTATTTTTGTGAAATACGAATGGAAAAATTAAACGTTGCACCGTGTGTGATAGGCTTTAACTGGTAAATCGACACTATTAATTTGCATACGAGTTTATCAAGTGAGTCATCAGTGAAAGTCCAATGAAGGTTATTCTGCTTGCACAAATAATCGCATACTTGTTTGCCTTTTCTGTATGAAAATGGCACTGAACTTGTTAGGTAAGAGTCAGCTCAACTGGGTCAGCCTTTAGCCGTAAAACGGCCAAAATTAGCAATTTTTTGCCACTAGTTTATGTCGTCACACTGCCAGTGTGAAAAAGAAAAGACAAGAAACATCGGAGTGTAGTAAACACAAGCTAAAATTTTTAAAGCAGTGAAGTGAAAAACATTTTGGGACCGAAAGGTAAGTAAGTATTTTAGTGTTTTACTACCCAAATTTAGTGTTTTGCTTTGTAGTTTTATAACGTACGATAAATAGTCAAATTAATAACTCGAAAAGCCTTCAGCCAAAATTTAACTCCGTTAAAAAGCTTATACTTTCTTGATCTGATATCTCAATTAGCGATAACGCCAGAAATCATTTGCTTTGATGATATTAAATATATATATGCATAACTTGCTAAAGTACGTTGTCATGAAATAATGCACTTAGCATGCAACAATTAATCTGAATACACAATTTGAACTGTATTAATGTTCAAATTGCTCCCTCGACTGCCTGGACATCTGGGGCAACTGATAATGCATTTTGAGAGTGATAGGGATGCTTGCCTAATAGTGGCTATGGCTGTACCTGTCATTGAATTTGCCTTCTTGTTTGTAACAGATTTTCCATACATTGTATGTTATTTTTTTCAAAAATTTTTGTCCGCAAGAAGAAAAATTTTTACAGAAGAATCCTTTTCCTATAACGTGTACAACTGTTGCTTAAGTTTACAATATTACTGATATTTAATCATAGCTGAATTTTCACAAAAATTATTTGCCCACCAACCAATCAGGGTGGAGTTGAAAACTGCAGTAAGGTCTATTGGATATAGTTAAAGTACTGAATTTCACACTATGACTTACAACTACAGACCAAGGGGCCTTTTAATGGTGTTAAATTTAAAGTCAGTATGGTCCAGAAACTATTCTTATTTTTAAAAGGTGAGGCTGGGTGATGGATGCGCAACACAACAGCGTCAAAAAAAAAAACACAAACAATCAAGCAAATTACTAAGTTGTGCAAAGTTTCCAGGGATAATATAAATTTACCACCATAAACAGTTAAAAGGCCTTATAGATTTTACTCGTAGCTTCTTTAAAGGTACAGCTTCCTTAAAGGTACAGCATCTTATGACGTTCTAACATGACTACCAAGTTGTTAAATACGTACTTTAATATGATTGATGCTAATTGTTTTATAAAGTGTACCGGTACACGGGGGAATTCCTATTGTTTCATATCCATACATGGTTGTGACGCAGTTCGTTAATGTTTCGTTCCTTTGTGTACCGGTACAAAAGGACACAACCCATTTGACCGTGAGTAGTGTTTAGAATTAACGAAGAAATCGTATTTTAACCAAAGGCAGAAGATTCGTATACGAATGGAGCGCAGCTAGATAAGGTAGTATTCTTCCCGCGAAAATTACAAAAGCAAAAGTTAACAGATTCCTTCCGATTTTTTTTTCCCCGCAAGTAACAGAAATGTTCTCCTCCCTGTCCCCCTCCAATCGCACTTCAACCAGTCGGGGGAGGTGAGTGAAGAATTGTTAACACGTCTTCAGAAGGCTTGGTTACGTAGTTGAGCCTATTTAAGCTGCTTTAAAAAGTAAACCAAAAAAAAAAATTATGTTGGCGGAGAAAGCAAACTGAAAATTTATCTGAAAAAATGAGCTCAAACGGAAAAGATTACAAAATAATCTCGGGCTTGGTGAAGCCTCTTGTGGAATGAAAAACAGAGGTGAGACAAATCGAGACCTTGTGTTCACTACGTCTGAGTAGTACGTGTAGTTAACATAAGTAAGAACGTTTTATCAAACTTAAGCGAGTTCAAGATTGTTCAAGACTTCGTTACGAAATGCTGATACATGTAGCTGCTATGGTTTGTAGCCAGGGACTGTTCCAGTTTATACCCTCATTTCTTTTTCTGAGCATTGCTTGTGTTAATCTTACCCGTGACAAATTACCTAATAGGAAAGTTATTTGTAACCTAGATAAAAAAAATTACATCGAAGTCACGTGAGATTTGGTTTGTTTATTTTAAATTAAACTTACATAATGCGATTACATGAAGTTGCAGCTTAAATGAATTCTTTCGGAGAGAATTATGGTCGGATTTTTCTTTATTTTTTTTTTTGCCTTGCTTTGCTTTGTTTTGTTTCGATTTACCTTCCAGCACATTGCAACTTATGATTAAATTAATTAAGTGTAGAATGGATTCTTTGGTTCACCACTGAAATAAAACAAAAAAATTGTTTAGTGAAAGTCATATTTCTTTTGGATTATTGTTTATCAAATGATCACAGTGTGATTAAGGTGTGATAAAAGTACGACCAGAGACTAGCGGTGGTGAGATTTGTTGTGGCTGCACTTCAGGATTACAGAGCATAACGTAACTGTTTAAGAAGTGGCTTCTTCTGAGTTTCAAATTAGGCAAAGATAACAATTTTGCCCTCCAATATGACTTACTTAATAACCCTTTACACCCTAACATCAGTATGCATATTCTCCTTACTGTTCTTTATACAATTCCTAAGGTGCTGACAGGGAGAATTTGTTTACTGATCAAAAGATTCTTTTGTCGGTGATCATTCCCTTTACTCTCATGACCTTGATGTAAGATCCAGGGATATTGTAGGGAGAAATTAGATGCTAATCACTCTTAGGATTTAAAGGATTAAAGAAAAGAAGGAAGCTAAAAAAATT